TCATTTTTTAGAAATGAAGAGCAAGATGACCAATATTTAAAATACTCTTACTTCATGAATGAAAGCTGTTTTGTTTTGTCCTGGTTAAATGTCCATACATGCACTCATACTACATAACAAACCTGTTTAGCCAGGATAAATACCTTTTAGACTACTATAAAGGATATTAATTCTGAATGAGCAAAATTTCTCTGGAATAGGAAAAGGGAGATTTGTTTCCACCCCTTAAGATTATCTGAAAGAATACTGCCCCTGAAATATTCACACGTGGAAGACATCTTGCTCGAGAAACTAGAGCACAAGATAAGCCAGTGTGATGAGCAGGAAATACTGTAACTTTTTTCAATCTAAAAGCTTTATATTGTCTAATACATGAATTGACAGTTGATTATATGGGAGACAATACAGAATAATGGAAAAAGCCAATCAACCACCAGTAGTTTAAGCCACTTAACCATCATTGACCTTGGGCAAATTACTTAATTTTGTGCCTCCATTTCTTCACCTATAAAAGTGACAAAATAAACCTAACCCAAAAGGTTGTTATGAAGATTAAACAGATTAATATTTGTAAATCACTTAGAACAGTGCCTGGTACAAAGTAATCACTATATAAACATTAGCTTTATTATGTCAGATGATCACACACATTATGTCACATATCCTGAAAGGATATTCCTAAGGAATCCCAAAAGAAGAGTTTACTCTTGGAAGGGTTTACTGTTTCATTCACTTTCAGAGAACTGTGGAGTATTAAAACATCTAAGGGTCTGCTTATATGAATTTTTAAAATTATATTTTCTAGTTTGAGGCAAACTAACTCACAAAGTGGACAAGTGGTGTAAAAAGACTCTGGCAGAGGGGTGCCTGGGTGGCTCAGTCAGTTAAGCATTTGCCTTTGGCCCAGGTCATGATCCCAGGGTCCTGGGATCGAGTCCCACATCGGGCTCCCTGCTCAGCGGGGAGCCTGCTTCCCCCCTCTCTCTGCCTGCTGCTCCCCCCTGCTTGTGTGCTCTCTCTCTCTGTGTCAAATAAATAAAATCTTAAAAAAAAAAAAAGATTCTGGCAGAGAATTAAAGATAATACACAACATGCAAATAGAAAGGAACTGACAGGGTTGACAGTTCTCCTGTTCTTGGTAAAAATCTCTAGTCAGTCATTATGAAGGAAAAAACAAGACCATCTAATCACAGAAACAAGATAGTCTAAAAATTTCAATTATCAAGGAAACTATATATTAAATATATATAATTTTCATTTATCAAAAAAAAACTAAGTAAAAAAAACAACTATGTGACTATGACTTCATACCCTCTATCATTAATTATCAAGTTTGGGGACGCCTGGGTGGCTCAGTTGGTTAAGCTTCTGCCTTCAGCTCAGGTCATGATCCCGGAGTCCTGGGATCGAGCCCCACATCGGGCTCGGGGAGCCTGCTTCTCCCTCTGCCTGCCGCTCCCCCTGCTTGTGCTCTCTCTCTCTCCCTGACAAATAAATAAAATCTTTTAAAAAATTATCAAGTTTTGCCCTAAATTTATTTTGTCTGAAACCCTTGGGCAGAGGTGTTCAGAATTTAGGAATTCTCAAATTCTTTTTGTAAGGTGTTAAGTGCTGTGCCATATATTACTAACCCTCCCCTGGCAGGATCTCAGGCAGCATCCCATTACCAAATACATTAACATTTCCGCAGAGAAAAATATAAACATTCACACTAAGTAGGATAAATGAAGATCATAAATAAGCATTTGTGGCAACATCTATTATATATTTTCTGTAAATTGTTATTTACATACTATCTTAAGGTCTGAAGACATATTTGGAAAAAGAGACAAACATAACAAACACATTACTCCATTTTCAAAAGGAACTAATAAGAAACCAGTGGAGGCGGTGGCTCACACAGGTCATGGTGGGTTCACTGGGGTCCCTGAATGATACCATTTGCCAAAAAAAAGTCACCTGTCAATTTAAGTGGAAAATGAAGAAAAGAGAACTAGATTCAGAAATGTTTATACTCAAACACAGGGCGGCACTGAGGTCCCCCTTGCTAGCATAAATGTCTTGGTTAGCTAGAGTGAGAGCCACTGGTGGGTGGTCACTCTCCTGGGGTCTCCTAGAGCATTAGCCCCTCCAAGCACTGCTTCCAGCCCTGATGCTCAGTTGTGTCTAGTTGCTGCAGCCCCTAGGGAACCCCTCACCATCCTCAGCCTGGAAACACAAAGAACCACTCCTTTGTTCTGCCTCTCTCTCGTGTCTTGTCCCTGCTGCTGTGTGTGTGTTGCGGGGGGGGGTGGTGGACTCAAGTCTTTAGACAAGTAGAAGAATCTGTGGAAACCCCAATAGCTGGGAGAAACACAAAGTATACCTCCTGCTCCCAATGTGTTTGGGAGCCCAATATCTTTGGGCCCAAATGGCCCCCAATATCTTTATTTCCCTAGGTTTGTTTTCACTAAATTCAATTAGATTTTTTTTCTAACAAGTAATTTCTTTTGAAAAGGCAAATCTATCTTGAATGATTAAATTAGTTTAATACAATTTTTCTTACTAATACCTGGATTGGCCACATTTGCATTCAATTTTCACTTTAATAAAACATGTGTTGGGCTCCTATTAATGTGCCAGGCATCCTAAGTGGGCCAAATAAATATCACAAGTTGGCTTTTCACACCAAATGAGCTCCCCCTGGCAGGGGGATGGTGGGCATGAGGGTGGGGGGCATGGGGAGAAAGACTCGTAATGAGGCATGACAGAAACGATGACAAAGGAATGAAGGATGCTATACTAGCTTACAGCAAGGGAATTTAGCTAGTTTGGGGTCAAGGAAGAGTAACCCAAGTGGAGACTTTGGGGACAGGTTAATGTCAACCAGGCGAAGGGAGGTGGAAATTCCAGCTCAGAGACTGTGACTGTGGGTTGGGCAGCCTGGCCATCAGGGGTCCTGTGGATTCTCATCTTCATGTCAAGTGAGGTGACTGACAGGTGTTAAGGAGGTAACAGCCTCAGCTAACCTGAATTTTAAATAATCCCTCTGCCTACAGTGAGGGAATGAAGTGGACGGTGGCAGGGACTGGAATCAATGAGGAATCTGTTGCCATAGGTTAGCTAAGGAATGATGAAGGTTTAAACCAAGAGTCAGACACCAAGGAACCAAAACCCATAGGACTTGGTGATTTATTATTTATAGGAGGTGAAGAAGAGGAAGACCCCTGGGCTTCTGGTTTGAACAATGAAATGGTGGTGAAGGCCTGTACTGAGGGGCAGGTGGAGGGGGTAAGATGATGAGTCTAATTCCTCTGAGATGCCCGAGAGACATGTGAGGGGGATAGCTATGTAGCAGCACTTAGATGCTGGAGAGAGATGCCAATATGGAGTCGTCAGTCTCAGGATGGTGATCACCTAGCAGGTGCGTGAAGAGGGAAAAAAGAGGATCTAGTATAAGATGCAGAAGTCCAGCAGTTAACAGATGAGACCAGGTGGTAGAACTGGCAGGCAAGGGAGACCACGAAGGAACGGCCAGGGGAGTGGGGGGTAATCGAGATGAGGGTTCAGGGGGATGTCACAGAATCAAGGTATTTTTAGGTATTTCAAAGCTGATGGGGATGAGCCAGTAAAAGGACCATCAGAGACAGAGGAGAGAGAGGGGATAATGATTAAGAGGATTCCTGATAGGAGCAGAGGGACTGGGATCCACAGAGGAGGGGAAGGCTGACCTTGCACTGGAGGAGTGACACTTCTTCCATGGTGACAACAAAGGAGACCAATGGCTGCAAGCCTCCAGACATTTTGCTGGGAGGTTGAGGGAGCTTGTTCCTGATGGCTGCCTGCTGCCCTGTATGCCCGGAGACAAACGCAGCTCTGAGAGTCAGCCAGGGGGCAGGGGTTGAGGTCTGGGGGGAGCTGTTCTAGAGAGCAGAAGCAGAGCTGGTCAGGGTAGCATGGTGGGTCCAGTGGAGGAGGGAGCCATAACCCACTCACGATGCTCCTGTCCACCTGGATGTGACCTTCTCATGCAGCTTCCATGCAGTGGGCAGCCAGCAGATGGCTGGATTCGTGCATCAGAAGGACAAGAGGGCAGAGGAGTTTAGGCTATTGGTAGGAGAGATGATAGGGATGGGCCATGGAATCTAGGCTGGATGGAGAGGTAAGTGCAAGCAGGGAAGTGACTAGGTGGTGCGGAGAGAGTCAAACAAGATGGACTTCTAAGGTGAGGAGGTGGGTGAATCTGAAGCAAGAAACACTTGGGGTTCCAAAGACAGTCAGAGGCTTGGGCCCTCAGGGGGCCTGGGGCTTAGCAGGGATGAAGATATAAGCAAACCAGACAATCTCTGCCAGATGAATTTCTTGCCAAGACCAGGCTTGCACCCAGGAAAAGGAAAAGAAACGCAACGAGGAGCCCGGGTAATGGATGGAATTGTAATAACCCCACTTCTTTGTGATTAGGTAGGGCATTACTCAAAGAATTTAGAACTTGAAGTTTTTAGAAATCTTGCTTTGAAATCTCATTTCTAAAGAAACTCATTCCTGCAATGAAGGATGTAACAGGAAAGAGACATGCTCAGCGAGAGGAAGCCAGAAGTTAACCAAATACAATTTGAGATTTAGCTTTGAATTCTGCTCATAATAATACAACTTTCTAAGATAAAATGCAACAAAAGCTAAGGTTTATTGGTGCTTCCTCTACGCCAGGCACTATGCTGAGAACTGTGCACACGTATTTCATTCAATTCTCACAACTCTCAGAGGTAGATACTCTTATTATCCCTGTTTTACTAACAGGGAAACTGAGACCTAGGGAAGTGAGCGGGGAGCTGGGCCTGCTTCCCATTACTCCTCATTTTTCAGATAAGAATGACAATGCCATTTGGGACATTATGAGGAATGAACCATAAAAATGATGGTACAGTTCACAGAAAATTAAGTTTGCCTAAATTCAAAAGAATAATTTTGATTGCATGAAGGCATCAGTTTGATTTAAAAATTTTTTAAATCTCAATACCAACCTATATTTCTCTGAATTAGCATGCACTCCCTCTCCTTTGCGGAAAAATGGCTTCTGCTTGAAACGCCAAAGTCAAAGCAGTATTTATTCCTCCCCATGTCAAACAAAGTGCAGTTGAATACGGTTCTCCTCTCTCCCAAGGTCAGGCTGTTTTCAGCCAGCTGAATGGTCCTTTCCCCAGCACGTCTGGGGGCCTCCTTGAAGACCGTGATCACTCCTTGGACGAAGATGCATGGTGGAGGGAGCACCATGACCTCCACCCCAGACTCACACGTGAGTTCCGGCGCCATCACCAGTTTGTATCCAAATTTCTGGGCCAGGTCAATGGGTCCCGTGGAGGTAATGACCGAGTCTCGGCCAAGCAGCTTCAGCACCACCGTGACGTAGGCTTCGGGCCCCACAGGGGCACAGCCAAACTCAACCCACTGACCTTGAGAGAGTTCTGTCCTCTTGCTGGTTCTGATCTCCAGCGGCTGACCTGGACTTGTTCTCGCCGCGGGCAGACTATTGGTAAAGACCACGTCCACCGAGATGTCAGGCTGGTCCACCGGGAAGGAGCACAGGGGTTGATTGGTAAAAAGGCCCACCTGGAAGGTGCCTTCTGCCGCCTGGGACGTCCTATTCAAGGTGATGTGAAAGACGGGCCATTCCACCTTGAGAAAGGCACTTTGCTCCCGCCAGTCCACTGGAGTGCTGTTGTCTGCCGCTTCCCAAGTCATCGTGAACCAATAGTCTCCAGCCTCCCTGAAGTAGAAGCATTCAAACTCGAGTGTGCCCTGGGACTGGTTGGTCAGGAGGTATTTGGTGGTCACAGTCTGATTGGTGTTGGCCTCCAACAACAGGATAGATACATTCCTCAGCATCCCATTAGCACCACTGAAATACTGGAAATCCACAGACACTGTGCTGTTGCTTAGCGCTACATGGCCCGGCTTTCCCAAGAGGAGATGTTCAGCTTCTCCAAGAACTGAAATCAAAGGGTCAGAGGTGGTTTTACAGAGAGAACTCTGAGCAGCACTATCGGTGATATCAAAGAAAACAGCATTTTTTAAAAAGATTTTATTTATTTGAAAGAGAGAGCAGAGAGAGAGAGAGCACACGAGCTGGGGGGGAGGGGGGCAGAGGGAGACAGAGAAGCAGACTCCCCGCTGAGCAGGGAGCCCAACGTGGGACTCGATCCCAGAACCCTGGGATTATGACCTGAGCCGAAGGCAGGTGCTTAACCGACTGAGCCACCCAGGCGCCCGAAAACAGCATTTTATACATAAGAGGAGTTTGAACTCAGCCAAAGAGGAAGTAGAATGATGCTGAGTGCCGATCCTGGGAGCTGGGCCCTGTGCTGTTCCCATTCTAAAGCGGCTCTGAATCTTCGGCTTTTGTGGTTATGTGTAAAACAACATTTTCTGATAAATACCCTGAATGCACCACATTCAACAATGTAACACATCTGCAGTGAACAATCTATAAAGCAAGAATAACAACTGACAATTCTCAAGATGTAAATCCAATACCTCACTTTTCTCATTTTAATCTGTTAAAAAGAAAACAAGCCCCAGACGGGGCACATTTGCCCCCCAGGACAGCAAACCAAGACTTAATTAGTTTCAACCTAACCCAGGAAGGTGGCCTTGCTACAATCAATCTGAAATTTTCTGATCTGCACTAGTGAGGTTACCTCCATGACAAAAAACCTGCTCACCACACCTCCCCAACACACACACACACACACACCCAGAGAAGAAATCCTGGCCTGAAACAGTCCTTTCTATTCTTTTGCTAATAACTTCTTGCCCCACCCTCCTTCCCATAAAAACCTTCATTTTATACAACTCTTCAGGCCATCTCTGCTTGCTAGATGGGATGCTGCCCGATTCATGAATTGCTTAATAAAGCCAATTAGATCTTCAAATTCACTCAGGTGAGTTTTTTTTTTTTTAATAAATCATATTCTGGGGGCACCTGGGTGGCTGGGTCTGCCTTTGGCCCTGGGCCCCTCACTGCGTGGAGCTCTCTGCTCAGCGGGCAGCCTGCTTCTCCCTCTCCCTCTGCTTGTGCTGTCAAATAAATAAATAAATAAAATCTTTTTTTAAAAAAATCATATTCTGGGGGCACTTGGGTGGCTCAGCTGGTTAAGCGTCTACCTTCCGCTTAGGTCCTGGGATCGAGTCTCACATGGGGCTCCCTGCTCAGTGGGGATCCTTCTTCTCCCTCTCCCTCTGCCCCCCTGCTCATGCTCTCTCACTATCTCAAATAAATAAAATGTTTTCAAAAATCATATTCTGGTGTTTAGATATTTGGGGGAAATGGATGCACAGTGAAGTGAGAAAACTTGATTTAAATGATGCCAAACAAACTGCTCTTGATTACTTAAAATGGAAGACCCTAAGTATACTTCAAAGTTACCATTTTCTGATATTCAAGACAAGTACTTAAGCATTTTCACCAGAAATGGAACCAGTGCCGTTGGTTTGTATGAAGCAGAAATTTTTAGATGAATAAGATATGTTGACACTTTATTCTGCACGGGTCACCCAAGGGACAGAGTGAATGTTTAGGACATAGCCAGGCTTGTCCTTGGCAGTTTTAATGACATCACAGTAACCACGACTAGCCTAGATGTGATAGATGACTACAAGCCCACAAGTATCACTCAGTTAAGATCAATCATATCTTTTTAAAAGAGACCCATCAGAGCAGCTGAAGTAAAGAGTGGAAAAAACACAGACACACAAGAATCCTTGTTTCTATTTTGAACCCTATCCAAATACATATCAAAGGAGACAGAATTTGGCAGTGCAACAATCAGCTGGCCATGGCTAGGATAAGAAACTTTCTAGATTTAAGACACTGCAGGGCATTTTTGGCTTAAAAAATAACATGTGTAGTATTAATTGTTCTTACTATGATTATCTTATGTAATATACACATATCATACCATATCATATATATGTCCAAAGGGCCTCAGTGTGTTATTTGGGCTGATCATCTTTAAACATGCCCTTTCATGTATTCAGTTAATGATTATTAGAATCAGCAGATGGATATATTGGCACATAGAAGTTTGGTTTTGTTTTTTAAATAGCTCAGCACTTCACCCATTTCTTATTGAAGATGAGACGAAATAAAATATATAAAACTTGGATAGACCTGAGTGCTTGATCACCACTTGCTTGAAAACCATAATAGAATAAAGTTCTTTTTCTTTTTTTTCCTTTAGTCGAAACAGAAGCTGAGAGATAGTCCCTTTTGGAGGGAGACAAGTCAAGGTTGAGGAAGGTAGCTGATTCTGTGGGAGCCTGTGCCTGGTTCAGAGCCCACTGGGCACCTTTCTGTAAACAGGTGACCAAAGGGGCTCTAACACTCAACGCAGCCCAAGGAAGAAGTTAGACTGAGAACAAAGGTCAGATTAATTTGAATCTCATGGGGCAGGATGGCTTTTGATGCACTTTAAGATGGAGACCACACACCACTTAGTTAATTGACAAAGGCTATCCTCGATGATAGGGATTGTCAGGGGGCAGAGCAGACTCTGATTTGATGGGCAGCCAATCAATGAAAAAGACACGCATGCCCAGACAGTAGTGGAGAAAAGATGCAACTGATGGGTTCCAGCAGTGCAGACAGCAGGTGTATACTGAAGAGAGAACTTGCTACTTTACTACAGTACTCCTGTTTTTATAGACAAGAATACATCCTCATTTAGAAAACTGCAATTTGGGTGTACCACATTCTGGCTACTACCAGTATAGTTCTCTCTACTCTTTCAATTCCCTTCTCCCTTTGCCTTTAGTATATTTAAAGTAACTGGTATCTCAATATAAGCACGTTGCTTAAAAAACAACAACAACTGCTGATGGTATATTTTGATCAATATCAAATGGAGAAGGGGGGAAAACCGAGGTCTAGGAAAACACTTCCTTTTCCATTAGCAGCATGTACACTCAACTTCTATGTTCTATTTTATGCTCATTGAACTTTTATTCTTATACTCCAGTAAGATATTTGCTTTCCACTACGACAAACATCTTTGCAGATTGTGTAAATGGCAAATTCTGATGTCTTTATCATTACGAAGCAAAGGACCCTTTTATAATTTTTTGTCTGAGGCTGTTATACGCAGAGTGATCTGTTTTTAAATAGGGATAAATGACATTAAGATCACTGAATCCCAGATTGATTTTCAGCAAATCAAGCATCTTCTTGTTTGAATAAACGTTTTAAAAAGAAAAGGCTGAGGAAGGAGATTCACCGGACAAAATGAACAAGTGCACACTCTGGATCGTTTAAGTGGATGCACCACTAATACCACACGAGCCAGGATTCTCTATCCCTTGGATCACATTTCTTCATCTATTTGAAAACAATTTCCACTTTTATACAATCAGCTGCTTAAAAGTCTTTGAAATATCTGGCAATCATCAAAAGAAAAGTAGCGAGTTTTATATTGTTGAATCTGTTGGTTCAGCAGTTGCATAAATCTCTCTGAATAAGAAACTCGATTTTTATTTGAAACAAATTGAATGAATAAAAGTAACAGTGAGCATCTACTATTTGCTCAGTCAAGGTGTCTCACCTTTCTTCTTTCATCATCACAACAATCCTGTGATGTCAACAAGAACCTTGTCTAAGGCATACAACTGGCAAGCACTTTGGACTGGCTCCAAAGATATTCTAAGAGCAAAACTCTCCAGGAGAGTGAAATCTTACAGAGAATCCCAATAAGAAAAAATCATTTCGTGTGTGTGTGAGTGGAGTTTAAATGTATAATACTGAATTACTAGGAAATCAGTCAAAGAGAACATAACGTGACATGTTTGTCTCCAATTTGCTTAAATGAAAGTGACTTGATTTTTATTCTTTTTTAAAAGACTTAAAAATATATTTAAAGGGAAATTTAAATCAATACATACAGAACCTTAAGAGAACCCAGGGCTGCAAGGATTTCAGTTTAAAAGGTAATGCACTGTAGAGCCTCCCCGCCTCCTTCCTGCAGGGTCATCAACATCCATGCATTTATATAAACCTCACATTTATGTTTCTTCCTTGATGCTAATAGCATGAAGTATACTTACAATACTCACCACAGTCACAGAGTACCACCAACAATAGATTTGAAAAGTCTTTCAACATTTGTTTCATTCTGATCAGCAAAATCCCAGGTCTTTGGTCTCCTCATGTCCTTTCTCACATCCAAACTGTGAATTTTTTTTTTTTCCAAAAACACCTGAAATTAGAATCTCAAAAAAATGATGCCTCTGTTCAATGTGATTTATAAAATAGTAATCATGCTACGGCAAAACCATTCTAAGAAGTCAAACTTTGTAAGTGAAAAGAAAATAGGGAACACTCTAATTTTCCCTGGGGAAGTAATTTGTAATTGTACGTGTCCCTTTTGTTACATTATAGTGCACCTGTTAAGAACATTCAGGGGTGCTCAACACCAGATTATCTTTGCAAAACACCAAGCCTCTTATCTTTATTAACACATGCTTAAGTGGAGAGTTTGTTCTTTGCTGAATTTCATCAAAGCGAAGAGCCAATCTGGATAACACATTTTCACCTGTTTATCTGCTTGGCATTTCACACCAATCAATTTGCTAAAATTTTGCCAAATTTTCATTTTGCATTGTGCTGTACAGACCAGGCTCGCTTCTACCAACGGACGTAACAACTACTGCCTTTCTTGCACAAGTGGTATGTTTCCTGGATCGCTTCATTTCTTAATGCCTAGAAGCTATATCAAAACTAGCAAACCTTTCAAAAAAATACCCAGAGTATCACAATGAAATGTGAACTCCATGTGACTCTGACTTCCCTTGTTTAGGGCACTCTAAAGAGAAAACAGATAAATAGCAATTATCATCTTCTGTCAGTTTTCCAATTCTTGTTGCTGTCAGTATGCATTGGGAGATCAATGATTTCGTGCAGCAAACTTCCCAAACCACCTAAGAGGGCAGGAAAGACCTTGTTGGCCTGAGCCTCAGAATGATCTGTGGGAGGAGGCACTTGCTTTGATATGAACAGACTATTAGACTGTAGAATAAGAGTCAAGGTACTTGCCAATTTTTTCATACTACAGTCTAATAAGTGATGGGCTACTAAACATAACCAACTATATATTTTCTTAATGTTTACATTCCCCCATTATCCACAGTTAATATATTTTAATAAGATACTATATTCCAAATATGTATCTTACATCTCTTCAGAAAAGACAAAAATTAATGGAATTAAAAGGACTGTGGAAATAATAAAAAATTCAATGGCAAGAAAACTGATGTGTCTCTATTAGCTTTCCTTCAATGGGAGTTGGTTGAACAAAGGAAACACTATTTCCTCAAAGGGAAGCAGAGATTTGAAGTGTAATTAGGCAGATGATTAGGGGGTCCCTCCCCTCTGCTCCCCAACAAAAAAAGAAAATTCCCTTTTGCTGGGATTAAGCATAGATTTGATCCAATCTTTTCCTTGAACTTGGACTGGGAAATGTGGCCAAACACAGCATATGAGCATCACCGCATCTCCCAGGCAAGGGTGGGCACTTAGGGCAATAAAATGCTTCCTTTTGAGTTTCTGATCTCAGTAACCACAGTAAGGAGAAGTAAGCATTCCCTAGCTCCCAAAAGTTGAACTTGCTCCTCCCAAATTGCTTGCTTTTCCATGATAACCAATTTTTAAAGAAGCTCCTAATCACAACCGATTTTGTGATTATAACACATTTTTCTTCTTATGAAAATGACCAGTAAAACACAGAATAGTGTGATAATCAGTATTTAGAACTGAGTGGAAATATAAACCAGCCTACCTTAAAAATCATAATACGGATTTCTTTTAATATTCTTAAGCTTTTGAAAATAAATGCTTAATTTTTACTAGCGCAATCACTGATTTGAAGACCTGAACAGAGCAACCCACAATGCAATGGAATGCTGGGTAAAAAGCACTATATTTGGGGAAGAAAAAAAAAGGGGGGGGATGCCTTCCTTCCTTCCTCCCTTCCTCTCCCTCTTTCTTTTCACCTTGTTTGCTTATTTTCTTCCAACATGTTGTTCCCAATACCAGGACTGGCTACTTAGAATGTTTGGCTTGAGAATCGTTTTGAGAAAATAAAAACTTAGGTCTCTTTTATGCACACTTAAAAATACTTCTATATAGCATTCGCACACATAAACATTTGCAGAAAAAAATCCAAATGCATCAGTTAGAGGGTAAGAAGTAGCGAATATTCTCAGTGGCTAATGGCATCACGCCAAGCTCAGATTCCATGTTTTTGATGAAACCGGCTAAGATAAATCCCTACAGTGTCTTCATTGCTGCAGAAAAAGAAAAGGAATTAAGCTAAAGTCTATTGGGACCGATGATTTATCAAATAAAAGGGAAAACAAAAGGAAGCAAAGTGATTTTGTCTCTTCTGACAAACACACCCTCGTGTGTATCTATCTACTACTAATATTTATTAGCAGGAAATCCCTAGTTCCAAAGCAGCTCGTGTAAACAGGCTGTATTTATATGTTCAGTGCTGTGGGCTCTGCCCTGGTCCCACGGATTGGATGCAGCTTCCCTAGGAGGTTGTACGCTCCCCGCTTCTACAACTTCCCAAAGGCCCCCAAGTCAAGTTCATGCCTGGAAATCTAGCCCTGCCCAAGTCCTCAGCACAACGCTTTCTTAAAATGAGGACCGTTTTGGAAAGGCTTAAATCTCATAGTTTGCACCCCTGAAAGGATTTCTCTTCGGAAAGAGGCAAACTTGTTCTGAACCGCGGAGTACTCCAAGCCGCCACCCTTCAAGGGTCCCAGCCATTCGGGCTCAACGCCAGTCTGCGGGCAGCCTGTCTCTCGGCAACACCTGCGGAGCCGGGACACCAAGAAGCGCAGACGGACGCTTTCTAAAGCGTTTCCCCTGGGGGCGAAGGCTGAGCCCCCGACCGCGAGGGAGAGGCTGCCGCGCCACCTGCGCTCTCAGCCTGCGGGGAGGGTGGGGCCGGCAGGGGCCGGGGGGCACCGTCCGACCCCGCAGAGCCGCCGGGGACCCCCCGCCGCACAGCAGTGCCCGAGGGGGCGGTGGGGGGGGCCCGGCAGGCAGGCTCTTCCTACCTCTCGGGACTGGCGGGCGCAGGGGCCGGAGCCGGGGCGGGCGAGGCGGCGAAGCGTAGAGGCAGGCGGGCGGAAGGCCTCAGGGGCCGCGAGGTAACGCGCCGAGCATCCCGCGTCCCGGGACTGCTCGCCCAGGCCGGCAGCGCTCGGCTGCGCGG